TCAAAAGTTAAAATAAAGTACGACAGTGTAAACATCTTAAACAACTGACTTTCATCTTGGAAGACATGAAAGTGAATCGGAAAGAAACTTTGCTAGAGACGACCTTCCATAGTTTTATGAAATATAAAGCACTGAAGTTAATGGGAAGATTTGGTGACACTTTATTTGAAGGGGTGTACATGACACTGTCATAAATATGACATAACACCCGTCATGAACATGAAGTGTTTATGAACGCCAATGCTTCAACCCCAGAGTGCTGTCCAGTGATGGTACCTCCAGCCCCTCCACGTTATCTCTGAGTATCAGTTGTTGACCCTGTTTCTGCTGAATTGAAAGTAATTCTTTCCTGTGACATCTGTTTTCCTCAGGTGAAACCTGAATCCAGATCTGGCTTTGACTCCTCGTTGTTTCCTCGTGACGTCGCGGGTAGTTACCCCGCTGATGCCCGAGTCTACAGAACCTCCAAAGACGGTTGAAACTCGCCTCCAATCCAAGAGATCTGACTGGCAGTTCCAACACTTGCCTACCTGTCCGCCCTCTGCGCCGCCGCTCCATCCAACTTAGTTCACCTCCTCCTCAAATCGATCCGCTCTCAAGACCACTCGGAAAGTAAACCGCAGAGACCAAAGGACCCTCGGACCAACAATACCCCGCCAACGCCGTTACTCATCGCCGTTCCTTTAAGTGCTTACCTGAACTCCTGCAAATCATTCAGAAATCCCACAGACTTGAACTCACCTTCTCCCGTGTTGTTCTTTTCAGTGCACTGCCTGCAGCAGTCTGTTCCCTGGACCAGAGACTCTTCTGATTTGTTTTGTGTTTGTAATAAATTTTTACTTGCATCTTCTCTTGGTGGTGGTCTTGCATGTGGGTCAAGTCACTTAAACCCATCATGACAGCACCAGCCCACACTGGACACAACATGCATCTCAAATTCAGTTTCTCACAGTTTACTTCCCCAAAATGGTTTGACATCTACATTTAAAGGGAATCAGAGTGGTGAGACGCGTAACAGGAAGCCGAGTTGAGTTTCAACAAATACATTTGTGACAAACAGAGGCTCAGGTTCCCATTGCTTAGTCAGATATAAATGTAAAATTAGCCTCCAGTGGTTTTCTTCTTCTGTGGTTTCTTCTTGGAACTCAACAGCAGTGCAGACAACAGAGTCAGAACCGACCCACCAGAACTCTCTNGTAACAGGTTTAACTGACTGTTGGCTATGAAAAAATATTACAAGTGCTTATGGGAATCATTAATAATTGTAATTTGGATTATAAAATTACTAAATCGGAGCACCATCTCATTGTAGAAAAAAAATATATTTTGCAAAACAGTTAAGTCTCAGTTATTTATCATACCAGCCTGATAAGACTATGGTCTTAAAATAATAATAATTGACAGCATAAGTTTAGCACTAACCTGCTATGGCAGTGCTGAACTAGATGGTTGCAGCATGTGTATGGAATAAACATATATAGAAGAGTTTGTTAACAAAATGAAATGAACTTCACATCTAAGACATTTTATTCAATCTATTCACTAAGATAGTAACACACAACTAAAACTACTAAGAGAAAGATCAAACGACGAAACTAAAACTGATAAAAGTTAAAACAAGTAAAAATAGTGATGTCATAGTTCAGAATGAATTGTGAATATTGAGAACCCAGATTAACTTCATGAGGAACTGCATTGTTAGTTTTGGCTAATTCAAGTTTGCTTACCAAAATGTGCCAGTCATTCTTCATACATCACCAGAAATATGTAATAATAAAACCTCATTCTGATTAAATTCTGCTTTAATAATTTGTGAGTGAAGTAGAAATCAATAACCCTTTGGAAAATCGACTCTTAATCTATATATTAGTTCATAAATTGGTGATTTAATGGAGTAGCAGGACAGGAGCATGTTGCCACTCACAAAATGGCGGAGCTTCAGTGTGTCATTGTCAAAATGGTGGTATAACTAAACTTAAATAAGCAAGTTTTCCTGTTAAAGGTCCACCTTATTAAACCATAATAAGCTGTGATGGGAAGGCAGAGTATCTTCAGTCAGAGGCTTCTTCAGATTCAGTGCAGCACAGACCGCTGCAGAAGATTATTCCTGCCAACAGCCATCACCATCTTCAATAACTCTTTGAAGAATCTAAATTAATGAGTTACAAAAACATTTAATTTCGCTTTGGGATTAATAAAGTATTTTTGAATTGAACTGAACTGAATTGAATTAGAGTCAACTGTCCACTGGGAAACTGTGTGTAGCTCGTAGCCACATTTAGCTTTCTGGGACTATGTTATGTAACTTAATAGCATGAAACAATGGAAAGATACGCATAAAAGAGATCAGATAGATCTTACTGTCTGGTTTTTAAAACATTCCCTGGAAAAAGTTTCAACAGTCAGAACTCTGTGGTTAGCTTTGGCTATATGTAGCATGCACCCCTGCTCTGTTTGAATTCAGTTCTACACACACAAAACACATAAAATGTTCATCCTAAACTCTTATTACTGTACCACACCTCCTGCGAGCTGCATTCGCCATGGTAAACAACCTGGAGGAGTCGCATTTTCAGCTGCATTACTGGTGCAGCTGGAACAGCTTGATCATGGTTTCAAGCAGTCCTCCAAGTGTTGCCAATTGTTTTCCCTAACAACAAATCATAAAAATACTATAATTCATATGATTCTGATGATGAATGCTCCACCAAAATCTCAACTTACTCTGATGTTCTTTCATTAAATTTCAGTAAACCACAACAGAGTCACCAATAAAATTTGTTCGGGGAACAGATTTGACTGAGCTCTGTCGAGGTTTTCATACGTAAGCTCGGGTTTCTGTGAACATACTGTCTTGGCTGCTTTTTTTATTTCAGTTTCTGGTGTCAAAATGCACTGTATTTGTTCTCTTCTTCCTTTGTTTCTAACGAATTTTGAGTAAAGGTGAAAGTGATTAGATACAGAGAGTTTCGATTATTTCGTGGTTCCATCCAACCAGGTCCTGTACTCAATCTGTGGAGGGTTCGAAGGCGGTCATACTTCAGGGGAACTTCAGAGAGATGAGCTGGTTGTGAACCTTCATAGTGAAACACTGAAATTTTACTCAATGTTATCATACTTGGAGAACATCATACCAGGTCATGGCATTGCCCACAAGCAAACAGACCAATAATGACTTTGGTTTGAACTTTATCTTCCATTTTGGCTACACATAAAATATGACTCAAGGTTTGTTGAACGAGGTACAACAAGGGCGAGGCGTGTTGCAACACGTCTGAATGAAAAGGAATGTAGCTGTCTATTCAGATATACTCAATATACACAAAATGAAGTCCTCTGTTGTGGTAAATGTACTTTGAAGAGTTCTTGATGTGTGCTGCATCGCGTTAGTCGTCTATGACTGCTATGCTTTTTTTTTAAATGCGTTTTCCAAAAACAATGTCGTTTTATAGAATAACCGCTGTGGAAGTTTCTACTTTTAACCTTTTTTTTATTATATTTGTGTCGTGGTTTGAACAGAAATTCATCTCTGCCTGTCACAAAGGAGGAGCAACTTCCAGGTTCTACGTGAAGCGACAAGGGAAAGGCGGCCAGAGGACCGAGCAAGATAAAAACCCCAGTCCAACTCAGAGCTCTTCCACAGCTGCTGCTTGCAGATGATGGAGACAGATCATATAGAAGAACTCTGTTTCCCGCAGCTGCGGAACAAGTCTTGCAGGAAGCCGACGCTCCCCGGGTCGGACGGCGTGCTCTTGAGCATTGTGCTTTCTCTCATTTCTGTGACCACGGCGACGCTAAACCTCCTCGTAATCATCTCGGTCTCCCACTTCAGGCAGAGACTATAGTCACATCAAAACCAGCTATTTAAGAAACGCTAAACTTGTAAATGAAAAAAATCTGATGATATTTTGTGATTCAAAATGTATCTGTTTGTCTTTTCTCACAGGAAGCTTCACACACCAACAAACGTGCTCCTCCTGTCTTTGAGCGTCTCAGACTTCCTTGTGGGTCTCCTGCTGATGCCTTTGGAAATCTACAGAAAAGTCGCCTGCTGGCAAAATGCTGTGTGTTCTCTGTATGGCTTTCTGATTGCGCATGTTGTCTCTGCTTCAATCGGGAACATCGTTCTCATAGCAGCTGACCGCTACGTGGCTGTTTGTGATCCTCTGCACTACCCGAACAAAATCACTATGGCAAGAGTGAAGTGCTGCGTTTGCCTGTGTTGGATCAGCAATGCCTTCTACAGGCTTTTCTTTCTGAAGGACGAGCTGTTTCGGCCGGGCGGGAGCAATTCCTGCGTTGGACAGTGTGCATACGTTGCCCAGCCTGTTGCGTGGTTTGTCGAGCTGACTTTGTTCTTCATTGTCCCAGTTACAGTCATTGTAGTTCTGTACGGGAGAGTGTTTGTGGTGGCCGTGTCTCAGGCTCGTGCCGTGCGTTCTCGCGTTACAGCCATCTCGCATCAGCTTTCTGTCACAAGGAAATCAGAGCTGAAAGCTGCCAGGACTCTCGGTATTCTCGTCGTTGTTTATCTCATGTGTTTCTGCCCTTACTACTGTTACAGTCTTGCTGAGGTTAACGTCACCAGCACGTCATATGCGTCGTATTTAATCTTTCTGTTTTACTTTAACTCCTGTTTAAACCCTCTGATCTACGCCCTGTTCTACCCCTGGTTCAGAAAAGCTGTTAAAGTCATTGTTACTCTACAGATACTGCAGCCTGGCTTACGTGAGGCGAACATACTGTAGATGGTCTGTAAACATAATGAGATGAATACTGACTTTCACACCTGATTGTCCTCTAGTCTTGGTTCTATAGGGGACCAAAACCTGTTCCTCCCCCCTTGCCTGCGGGTGTTTCTGCACCAATAACTACTGAAGGAAACAACGTGAAAACCTCAGAAGAGGCCGAGCACAACTTCCTTCTTCACAAAATGTAAACAAAAATGAAGTGCCGTCAGATTTTTGTGGTTGTAGGATTTCTCTTCTGTCTCTGGTAAAAGCCATTTCTCCTGCTAGCATTAGACTCTCCTGTTTGTTTTGGTTGTATTTACCCAGAATGCCCTGCCCTACAGTCAGCTTCCTGCCTTTGGAGGAGTTTCTCCTAGTCAAACCGAGGCCTTGGATTTTAGGCGGACAGGAGTTTGCCGTTTTGGTCGTCAGGCCTCACTGTCCTTCCAGTTTTAAAACTGTTTGTTTGTGCATTAAACTATTAATGTGGATAGACTGGTTGAGTTTAACATGTTTCACGCAAAACTTGTCATAAATATTATGGCTGCAGTCTCTGTTCCCTGTGTTAATTGTATTGTACTAATTGTATGGTAAAAAATAAAGGTGTGTTATTAAATGTGGAATCTGTGTGGACATTTGAAGTCTCTCTGCTCCTCACCAGCAACAAAACACAGCCCAACAGTTTAAACGATGATAGTTAAATCTGAAACAATTTTCTTTAAAACATTCAAAAGTAGGTAAAAATAATATTTACTATATCATTCTCACTATAACTGTGAAAATGCTGCTGCTCCCTTAATAACTATCTGTTCCAGCACCTCCCTATTATGATCATTGGTCATTAATTCTTTCTTTTCATATATGATCTCATAATGTATTGTCACTGAAATGTCAACAAAAAAGTAGCTTCATTATTTTTTTCTTTTTTGACTTTGAAAAGACGACATTTACTCTCTGAGGTTCTGAAAATAGATTTTTTTAAGTCTGTCTCTGAGTAGCCCCCCAACTAACCTACCTTCTTTTTTATATCATGTATTTATTTTTTCGCTTCTTATTTGTGGATAACATATTTTATTGTCAGTTATCTCAAATAGCATTTTTTTTATTTGTGGTGTCTTTTTTATTACTTTGTGCAAATGTTATTTATTTTACATCAGTTTGTTTTGTGTAGGAATGTCTGCTGTTCGGGGATCTGTTTGTGGATTAAAACCTATTATAATTGTATTGCTATGCATGGCTTTGAATGATATTTATTAACATATTGTTAATAATCAATAAAAAGACATTTGAAGCCTTGAAATAGGCCTCCATCTGGTTAAGAAGCTCATGATCTGCAGGTTCGGAAAACTACTACTGGGCGATTCCACCTAATCTTTCACTACCCTTACACCGTCAGATTTGATTTCAACACTTTTAAAGTATCTATATGGGTCCACACCAGAAAGTGTTAATTTAACTCTTTTTGGAGAGTTCGTACCGGTAACACTTTATTTGAAGGGGGGTGAATAAGACTGTCATGACACTGTCATAAACATGACATAATTCCTGTCATGAACATGAACAAGCCTTCATGAATATTTATGACTGTTGTCATAAAGCGTCATTCGGTAAATTATGACACTTTTAATACAAAGTTGACATTATTCAAAATGCCGTTGTTATGACAACTTGACATTAACCAAGAAATCATTGTTATAAAAGTATTACTGATTTCACTTTAAAAATTAGGTAACTTTATGTTATTAAAGGTAAAGTTTAAACAATAATGATTTCTTGTAGAGGAGAAACCAACATGCTCCTCTACTGCATCGGACCGTCGTCAGTCTCTGAGTACTACAAACAGTGTCGGTCTCCGGATCATAACAAACAAAAAAACATAACAATGAGGACTGGAACGAAGGAATACATTTTTACTACAACTCTACCAACAAGCCTTCATTACAGAAATGTGGAGTTTCACAGATGTTAACACTTACATAATCATTTTTGGAGCTTGAATCTTCGAAGAATCCATGGAGGGATCAGGTGGGCGAGGTTAGGCTGGAGATTCATCCTCAACCAGACTGGTTCTAATATATACAAAAAGGCAATAAAAGGATTAAAACATGCTGAAAAACGTATATAAGAAGACACAACAGCGGGAATAATGCTCTCAACCGTTTTTCAAAAGAATCGATCAGAAAGGTTGATAAATCTGACCAATATGCATGTAAACGTTCAAGATCATGAAAAAACATATTCCAGATTATTACGGATCTGTTCAAGTTAGCCAATAATTTGATTAAATCTTCACCGGCTCGATATTTTTCCAACAAATACTCCGCTAACATTCGGCATGCTAAGCTAAATATGCTAACACCGAGCCGTGTGGCGAACGTGACGTCTATCATACAGGTTGAGCTCAACTCAAAATAA